CGATCCTAAAGATCACACAAGAGAGTACCACTCAGGAGGTGGTGTTGCAAGCACTGCAGAAGGCTGGCCTGGGTGCAGAGAGAGTTCATGACTATATTCTGGTAGAGGAGGTGGCAAGGAGCTGGGAGAAGAAAGACAGGGATGTACCTGCCACGCAGAGAGTATTAGACCTACAGGAGAGGCCACTACAGGCACAAGCACAATGGCAAGGTGAGGGTCGCTTTTTACTTAAGAGGATGGGAGATGATCCCAGCAGTAGGGCATGGTTGTCATCTATCCGAAGTACTGCAGGGCGAGAGCGTCGCTCCATGCCATCCTGTATGGGAAGTGATGCTGCGGGGCCTGGAGTGCCATCTGACACCTTGCATCAAGAACAGCAACAACTCCGTACCTGGGAAGAGGCTGACACATTCTTAGTGTGCGTGTATAATGTCTCGCCAGAGATCCCTTATGCCATTCTTAAAGTTCCACTAAGTTCATGTGCACAGGATGTATTAGCACAGGCACTAGTAAAGGCAAGGCGAATGGAGGACCCTGCGAGATTTGTACTGGTGGAAGAACTAGAGTGGGGTGGAACAGGTGGTGGGAGTGCAACTCGTCAGCAACGAGTATTAGGAGATGATGAAAATGTATACAGTACACAGGCACACTGGCAGACTCTGGGGCGGTTTATATTGAGGGAACGTGACCAGGTGACACCACCATCTGGAAGACGTCATCGTGTGGCAGCAAATTTGCGTACAGCCACTCTTGAAAGGCTCAGTAAAGGCCTCTATGTTGGACATAGGGCAAGCATGGGTGGAGGGAACAAGGAAAAGGTTCCAGTGCAGGAAGCTTTAAGTGATCCTACTACAACCCGTAGTACTAAGCCAAAATTTCCCCCAGTAGGTGATGGGATGCGATTAGGTAGTGGACGAGTGATTGCATTAACTGACAGGGGTAGATTAGCCAGGGCATCTGTGCCACAGCAAACCCGAGAAGTGCATTCAGAGGGTGAAACTCTCAGTGATGATGATACAAGAGATGCAGACCTCATGACTACTGTGTCACGACTAAAGAAGGTCTCCCTTAGGAAACTTCGGGTGTGGAAATCTTGAAGAATGCTTGGATTTAGTCTGGAACAATTGTAGGAGGCCCAGCACTATTGACATAAAGTAAACCCCATCACACTCACCTGGAGCAGGTTACAACTCTTCTAGCAACATGTACAGACCAGCAGTACAAAGACAAGGAAACAGTTTGCCTTTATAAGTATTCTTGTATGTAACATGTCATTGTATTCCATTTCCAAGCTTCATCTGTAAGATGCTACCAAACTTAGAAACATTAGACTGAATCCAGCATTTTCTGAGGCTTGAATCTGCAGGTACATTTGTTAATATAGCACCTGCTCCTTGTCTTACACAACTGGTTTGTAATTATTTCTAGGAGTTTTGTATGGGTTTTGTTGTTGCCCACATCTAGTCATAAGAAACTTTCTGTGATACTTTTACGTACTGTGTACAATTCGCATCCGATACCTCATATTATGAGTTGTTGACCCCAATTCTGCAGCCATGACCCGTACATAATCATCCACCTCCTTCTCCTGTTGTACTTGCATCTAAAGTACAGCTTTACTTTCAGTCTTTCATACTCGTTTTATCTGATATATGTGCTCCTTTCCAACTATATGCAAAACAAATTTTTAATATATTTTTTGTTACATTTGTCACATCCATTTATCTTTATACATGCACAGAGTTTTTTATATTTATTGTTGATAGCTGTATTGCCTCGCTGCTCTTATGTACAGTTCAGTGTTGTCTGTTTCCTATTTATTACTCAACTTTTCTCAATATGTCTGGTGAAATGTGACAACTGACAAATAAGTTTCTGTTTCTTACATCATATATCCTTGTCATGGCTCATTGTCTTCTGGAGAGAACATTACATTAGAATGTTACCTTAATAACCAAACTGAGGTGGCATGCATATCGGGTACATTTTGCCAGGCACTGCACTGGACCAGTGATCATTGTGATGAGTGAAATTTATGACTGAGCATGGGAAGAATGCTGTCACTGTTGTGCTCTTATCAGTGTTTCCAACTGAGAGGCCTTTGATGGACGGTTCCCAACCTTAATTATTTTGATTTATAGAAAATTAGGATTTTAATTAGATCTTGGTAATTAATAGCATTTTGTACCCTTCACATGTCACTGCCACACAGTATCATCATTTTGCAGTCAATGGCTAAGTTTAATCAGTTAAATTGAGGACCTAAATGTTTTATTAACCTTTACTGACCATGTCATGGCATATATGGGTCCAATGGCTGTGTTTCTCAGTGGCATACTGTTAACTCATTAAATCTCAGAGTTAAAGTGTGGCTAGCAGCCCCACTATCTCATAATCCTGCATAATAAATATAATAATGTTGTTCAGTACCTTGTTTAAAATTGAATTTACATGAGAGTATATTTTAGTTCTAAATGCAATTCTTGTATAACATCATACAGTACTTCTTCCAAAACTGAACTGTTTTATCATGCAAAATAGCTTTTTAGTGGAATTAATAATACCAGTCTTTTTTCAAAATTTGTCACTTATCAGTTACCACTTTGAGAAAAATAGTTTAATATTTTGCTGTTAGAAGCATTACTCACTCCTGCATTTTTGTTTTACATCAGAATTCATTTAAAATTATCCACAATGATAAATCTCCATATCTTAGATGTATCTAATGATTTCCTTAAAAAGCCACATTCTTGCTTGTGTTCATCTTTTAATACAATGCTAGTCAGAATATCACCAATAAATAATTACCACTTGCTTCCCAATCCATCAGGTTGTCTGTAGAGTTCGTTCAAGGAAGTTGAAGTGATAAGTAAGTATCAAAACATACATCACAAATTGGTTTAATTCCTCTTTATTTGAACTGTATCAAAATCATATTTTAAGCACACATTAATCATTTTTGGAACTCAACCCAGCATATTAAAGATTAAGGCAGAATAACTGTTATACAGAATAACAAAAGCAAGAAAGAACCTTTTCATTGTCCACTGTTTATCCATGTTGCGTATTCCTTTTAGGTCTTGAAGTCAGAGAATATTCTCGGGTACCAGTAAATGTGTTAAGGATGAGAGTGCATAATAGACAAGACAGGTTGCCAGATCAACATTTATGAAGAGTGAGTCTTTACAACTATGATTGCCTCTGATTTGTCACTCTTTTCATTTGACGTTGATATGTGAAGATTGAGGAAGCATGCACTCCCAAACCATCCAAAACCCTTCTTCAATTGACATGACGTATGACCCCAAAAATATACATACCTCTAACAAAAATGGCTGTAAAATTAATTTTCACATCCACAGCTAGTACCTGGAATTCTTTGACCCCCAGTATTTATAATTTCACTATTTATTATATGTATTCTAAGTGCTTTAAGTAGAACTTGTATTATGTAACTGACATTTGTGTCTGTGATAATTTAGTAATTTATTTGCTTCGCTAAATAAATATTAGAATGAGAGGTAGGAAGGGCTAGCATTATAAGTGATGCTTTTCAAATCATGCATTGTATTAGAGTATGTGTATGTTTAAAAATCATGTTGTTGCTGATTAGAGTCAAATTAAGTAAGTCATAAAGTGATTACTTGTATCTTTAAAATTACACTGTTTGGGTAATATAAATACAGTATTTCCCATACAATACAGAATCCTACTGGTTGGGAACCGCCTAGTTTATTTGTTCATACATATATACCTGATGTGTTATAGCTTACAGTAATTTACTACAAAATTTTGTGCCCAATATTAACAACAAAAACAAGTTTTAAATTGTAATATTTTGTATTTGCTGATATGTGAATATCAGACTATAAAATATACATCAAGAGAGGGAAGAGATGTATATTGTTTTAGCCAATTTTGATATCTGAATGCACCAAAATAACACAAGAATGTATTTCACCATATTGGACATGTGCATTGTTGCATTTTATGATGATCCACAGAGTATAAGTGCTCAAATAACAATGCAGTGGTTTTTCTTGGGGAGACAATCAGGTTGCTGAGAGAAGGGGGGTGGGGGGGCAATTTATTTCTTGCTGTACCAGAGTATACATCATGGTGGCTGTGAAACTATGTTACACTGATAAGAGGGCATGTTTATGTTTCCTTGACGTCCAAGGCACAAAGTTGTAAAGCACAGTGTTATTTATATATTAATTAATTTTTTAAGTGTTATCATAATTTCATTCCAGCACCAATAAACACTGTGTACAGGATGTCTAATAAAGTTGGAGTATATCTTTATGCATGAGAGGATTTGTTAACTTCTGTTCGTAAGATCAAGTGCACCGACTACACAATAAACTGATAATTATTTTAATAGCCTAAGTTATGACATAATTTTCATAACTTGGAAAAACATCATACAAGAAGAAACTGCACTTCTTCCAACATACCAGTTGCAGCAAGATAAACTTAGCTGTGCTCCATAGAAATTACAACTAGCATCCCAAGTCCTCATCAGATGGTGGAACTTACCTCTTACAGGAAGTCACAAATTCTGAAACTTAGAACATAATATAGACTGCACAGTTTGTAATGGAACGTGGCAACTAAATAATTTCCAATCTGCTGTTGGGTCAGTGTTTCTTATGCAGATCTAAGTTTCTGCCAAGCCACATATTCTTTAGACCTAATTGTAAGTTTGAAATATATTTAGGCATATCAGAATTATGGATATTGTGATCTCTCCAGCTATAAACATGACAGGGAATATCTTGTAAATAAATAGAATGTCCATAAAAGTATGAAGTTTGTTAATTGTTAATACTATAAAACATAATTTTACTTTTTATTTTAATAATTTTTTAAATAAATTTTATACATAACATGCACTATAATGTTAATATGTATTGCTAACATTCTTTATGTCAACATTTTAGGTTCATGAAAGAATTATGAAAACAACAGTATGTTAATCAGAAATCTCACCTTTTGATGCATAAATTGACTTGAGTAAGATTAATTTAGTATATGTACTTACAAGAATCCTACTATTCTCATATAACCAATTTTATTCAGGAAAAGGGACACAAATATCTGCATGGCACATATGTTTATTTATATTGTAATTCTGAGCTATTATCTTAATTTTTAAAGTAATGTAGTACAATGACTTTAAATAAGTACACATAATTAGATACACACGTGTGATATCTGTTCCTCTTCAGGCTTTATTTAATGACTTAGCCTACTTTAATTAACTGTTAGTTTTCCTGCAACTGAAGTTTTAAAGTCCATTGCAAGCTTGTCACTGGAGATAAATAAAATATGATAGTCTCACTTCCAGGATATGGTGGAAATATATTGATAATTCTCTGATTATTATAAATACAGTAAGTATAAAAAGCCTTCCTGTTACATTCTGAATTCCAAGATAACGTCCATAAATAAAAAGATGCAAAATGTTTTGCAAATATACTTGTATATATTGAAATTAACTTATACTTTGAGGCCTTTCTCAATGAGATTTCCAAGTGTGCCACGCAGCCAAGACTAACAAATTCACACATGTCCTATATTCAAAGATGCCCAAAAATGATATAGGTGAAGACTTCATAAATGTATCCTGATTGTATACAGCTCTGTTACATAATTTTCTCAATTTAAACTTTGGCTTTCAGAGTATCTCCCTGGTTATAAACTTTAAATACTGTACTTCCTGAAATACTATAATTAATTGATGACCAAAGTATAAGAGTTAATTTAAACTACAGTAATGTAATGTTTTAAAAGTTAACCCATTATAACAAAGCTGTCTGCATTTGGGAGTAAGTACATTAAAATTCTGATCACTAGAAATTTTGACCTATAAATGTTGATATGAAGAGCATGCTGTGCCTATCTTGTGAATCTTTTCTTCTTATTGCAAATCCCTACTGGAGGAATTTGGTTACATTTTCCAGTAACATGTTACATAAAGTGAAGTTAAAATCGATGGTTGCTGGTGTGTCCTACCTATTAATTACAGATAACATTAAAATGTTAATTTCACATGAGTAATAGTGCAGTAGATCTGTCACAGATTCAGTTTGCGCTAAAGAAGTTCTGAACCAAGAAACACTGACCCTGATGGTAACATGTCAAGTTTTGAGACAGTAGCAGTGTGCAGTTTAATGCACAGCAAACTTTAAATTGTTATCCATTTCAATGTAAATGTCGATATTGTAGATTTTTAAGTCATGATACACAAAACATGACACAGTTAATGTACATAGAAAACACATTTCACTATCATATAATATTACATATTTATAAATACTGTAACATATAGAATATAAGAGTTCTTTTTCTGTGTTACATTAGACATAGTCCAGTACTGTGCTAGAATTTATATTTTTGGGCCACAGTGTAAGATGTCTCTTACACAGTAATCCAAGGAATGTATTACAAGATGGAAATAACAGGAGAAAAAGAAGGTAGACAAATGTATGAGTATGGAATTTTCTGACCAGTATTTTGCCCTACAGTATATGGTTAATTTTTCACATTTTTTAAATAAGAATTCCCTATTGTAGCTGACTGACTTGCATCATAACTTGGAGGCAGCTGAACCCTAGCTGTACATGCATGTGTTCTCTTCTCAGATGTGAATTAGTCATTTAATTTTTTCTCTGTCAACATATGGTTGAGACATCATGTATTTTGATAAAAGTTACCATTGGTCTCTACAGATCTATAAAACTAATAGACATCTCTGTTCTTATTAAAGCTAAAATCCATGAGGGCATATTTCAAATTAAAATGTGTTGCATACATTTAAGATTAATTCCATATCATTTAGATTATTAAGAGAACAGAAGTCTTGTTTGTACCTGATTTTTTCCTCAAAATACCAAAATGTATTATGTTTCATATAAAGACAAACATTTTTCCAAAGGAAATGCTATCAGTGCCAAAATGCCTTTAAAATAAAATTTTACTTACTTTTAAAAGGCACTTACTCTTAGACAAGCAGAGGCCCTGTATGATATTCAGTATTAGAGCAAACACTGAATAGTGTTATATTTCATAATTTATAGATATTTCTTTTCCATCCCTAACAGGTATGCAAATTCTGAATTTTCAATTTACTGAGTTTATGTGAAGTGATGCATGTCCTAATCATAAGCTCAATTTAAATTTACATGCAATATGAATTAAAAATTAATCTGATTAAACATATCCACATACAAGATACTGACTTTGATATTTATATTTTGGAAATTAGCACATATTTTATATTTTAGGTTCAACGTTTTTTCCTAGTGAGGACAAGATAAAAAAATTTGATCACTCAATTGAAATCTGTCCTCATGGCCTGAACAATGACTTGCATGAGGCAGTTATTTATATCATAAAACTAATTACTGTCATATTCTTGTTGTATTTTGACTAAATGTATTATTTATTTTATGAACCAAAAACTTTAGAATAATGTTAGTTGCTTGAAATGAATAAGCTCTGTTATAAAATAACTATTTTAAATATGTTCAGCACAGGAGTCTTAAAAGACATGTGTTTATATTTTGCAAAGAGAAAAAAGAAAGAAAGTTCATGTCGATTTAGAA